GGTATATATATATATCAATAATAATAGGTAAAAAAAAAGGTAAAGTTGTCTCTGTGCTTAACTAATTAAGCACTTCGCCACGAAGCCGTATGGGGTAGTGAACGTATAGATCCAAGTTTTCTTGACCGCGGCACTAGCTGGAGGTGAGTGGTCAGCTTCACGACCCGGCCGCTTTACCCCCTGGGAAAGAATCCTCGGTACCCATTTGACAGGAGGTTGGGTGGACCCCATAGCCAGTTTGGATTACTTGGAGAAGAGAAAATTCTTGATCCTAACGGGACTCGAACTCCGACCCCTCAGTCGTCCAGCCCGTAGCCAGTCACTATACCAACTGCGCTACCTCGCCTCCTATATACCAATAATATATGTTATAGTATATCCATCGGTCTCAGGATAGGTCAGTCGGTATATCGACGGGCTAAGGGCAGGACGGCCGTGGTTCTATTCCTGTCAGGGGCACTAGATTTTCTTAGTGTCCAGACCGGCTCTGGGGCCCACCCAGTCTCCTACCCGATAAGTACGGGAGGTCTTTCCCTATGAGTAAAGCAGCCGAGGCGTGAAACTGACCTCTCACCTCCATCTATTGCCAGAGTCAAGAATTGTGGAGCTATACCTCCACTCTCCCATACGTCTTCATGACGTTGTGCTTAATTAATTATCATATGTATTGGTGCCAGTAATTAGAATTCCGAGATGTTTAATTAACTGCAAAATTTGCTTGGCACCTCGTTGTTTAAGTGTGGAACAAAACTGGCAAGGAGGCCGTACTCAGTAAAGTAAGGAGGAAAAGGGCCAACGCAGTTCTTGTTTGTAAGATGCTAAACCAGGCTGATGGGTTTTATCCTGCTTAATGGAGCCGTTTGAACTTCAATCAAAGATAGAAGAACAGCGTGTAATGAAATTATAATATCAGAAATAGGTAAGGATTTGGAAGGGGGCTGTTGTGGTCTCTTTCAAAGTACTATCCCTGTAACGCTATCCATACATTTGCCTGAAGAGACTGAGGAAAACAAAAACAGAGGAAAGATGTACCCCAACCATTAGTTACTTATTTTCGTAATTCCCTTTTCGCGATTTTGCTTACGTGGATAGGCTCGGTGTTTATTATTGTACATGCCGTAGACAGATCTGTTACTGCCAATTTAATCACACCAATAAATCGTCACATCGCAAAGTCATAAGTATTCTTTCCTTTCATTTCGTTATGCACCATATCGAAAATTGCTTCAAGTAAACGTAGGTCGTACTGAGGTGCCTGTTTTATGATATACGCAAATTATTTATCCACGGCTTCTGAGAGAAAGTACAACGTTCGATTTGTATTTCATTTGAAGTGGGGGTTATTTTTTGAACCGATAGAGACAAATTAGCTTCATCCAACATCATTTAGACTAACCTCCCAATGTCACCCTTTTTTATTTTATTGCTAGTGGGCCGCTCCTTTTCAATTTGCTTTAGAATATGCCATTAGGAAGGTCCAGGGAAACCAGGTGGAACTGAAATTAAACGAGACACATCAGCTGTTGGTCTATGCCGATAATGTGAATCTACTGGGTGATAATGTAGATACCATAACGAAAAACACACAAACTTTAATTGACGCAAGTAAAGAGGTTGGTCTAGAAGTAAACACAGAGAAAACTAAGTATATGTTGCTGTCTCGTCACCAAAATGCAGAGCAAAATCATGACATAAAGATAGGAAACAGATGTTTTGAAAATGTGGCACAGTTCAGATATTTGGGAACAACGATAACTGATCGAAACCTGATTCAGGAGGAAATTAAGAGGAGATTGAACTCGGGTAATGTTTGCTACCATTCAGTCCAGAACCTTTTGTCTTCTCGTCTGCTGTCCAAAAACATAAAAGTTAGAATATACAAAACTCTAATTTTGCCTGTGGTTCTGTATGGGTATGAAACTTGGTCCCTGGCATTAAGGGAGGAAGATATACTGAGGGTGTTTGAGAACAGGGTGTTAAGGAAAATATTTGGACCGAAGAGGGATGAAGGGACAGGAAGTTGGAGAAAACTGTATAATGCGGAACTTCATGACTTTTACTCTTCTCCAAGTATAATTAGAATGATCAAGTCAAGAAGGATGAGGTGGGCAGGTCATGTAGCACGAATGGGGAAACGAGGAATGCGTATAGGATATTGATGGGAAAGCCGGAAGGAAAGATACCACAGGGACGACCAAGGCGTAGGTGGTTGGACAATATTAGAATGGATCTTAGAGAGATAGGATGGGATGGTATGAACTGGATAGATCTGGCTCAGAGCAGGAACCAGTCGAGGGCTCTTGTGAACACGGTGATGAACCTTCGCGTTCCATAAAATGCTGGGAAATTCTTGAGTAGCTGCAGAATTGGCGGCTCCTCAAGAACGGCTCAGCTCCATGAGTAAGTAAGTAAGTAGGGTGGGACTAAGTTCCTTGTACTGCGGTAACTTCTGACCTATTGTACCAGCCCCAGATGATAGGTGAGGATGATTGTGGAGAAATTGGTGGAATGAAACTTGGCAGGGGAAACCAAAGTACTCGGAGAAAACCTGCCCCAGAGCCACTTTGTCCACCACAAATTCCACTTGACCAGACCTGGGATCGAACCCGGGCCGCCGCGGTGGGAAGCCAGCGACTAACCGCTTGAGCTATGGCGCGATCCTCAATGTCACCCTTAATCAAAATTCATTGGGTTGTTGAAAGATGAAACATACAGAATGAATGGTAAACTTATACGTCCTCCCTCCCAATTTATGCTCTCTTTTCATGCACTTCTTAAGAAAATGCGCACGAACACTCTAGTTTGTACAATCTGAAATATGAGAATGAACGGCACAGTCATATGATACTTCCCCGTGTCTTTATTTGTCCATTTTCTACAGTTTCTTTGACGAAATGCCTCTCGACGTGTAAAGTGGAAATAAATTCATTAATAATTCGAGATGTTGAGACATTTTTACAATTTACTCTGCATTTCCAAAGTTATTCTCCTTGTGTTTGCAGACATTAACTTGAAAGCAACATTTCTGTTATTCTGTTTGCGTAACATAATTTCTAACGCCCTAAATGTACGAATATGCCTGAACTTTATTCCATTTCAAGTCATTTTTTCGTACGCTTTATGTGCAATGGTGTTTGGAAATAAATTGTAACATATCGGACGTTCAGGTTACGGTCCTGATTGTTCAAACACTTGCAGTTTTCCCTCAGATCGCAGGCTACTAGTTCCGGTTCTCGATTGACCCAATGGTATTGTATTACTTGAACCTGCCTATTGCCTTTTATACGCACCAAGGACATGGATTGAAGTTTGCGGACGGCGTAACCTGTCCCAGCCGTGCGAGATGATTTCCTCTACATCACGAGATGCCACGCAGTCAGCGCGCCGGCGTCCTCGTCCGTAGCTGGAGGGGGCTGTGACGAGCAGCTGGGCTGACGTTGCTGTCGTCGTGTGCGGCTGGCGAAGTGCCTGGACTCAACAGGTCGGCATGGTCAGCAGGTCCCGACAACGTACAGATGCTCCAACAGAGAAACCGCGGGCAACTTCCACCACCTCACAAAGCGGCGGTTGCCGATCCTCTCACGGCCTGCTTGGACGCCAATGGCACCTACATCTGTACTGCCTACAATCCACGCTGCTACATCATACAGAAGGTGAGGTTAGGAGTGGAAGACAAGTTGCCATATGTCATGAGAAGATTGTTGTTTGTAGTCGGTTCTGCACAGTGCCAGTGCTTGACATCGTTGTGTGGACTTCCAGCGGCTACCTGCGAAGTTCGTCTTCCTTTCTTTTGTGAGGTCAGGTGATGATATACACAGAAACGCTCCCTTCCTCCCCCCCTGTTACAATATTTTGTTGGTCCGTTCGCGCCATCTTGGATCGATACCAACTTGAACCCGGCGGCGCGCGCGAGACGTCACAGGGAACACGTGGGATGGGAGCGTCCTTTCCATATGGTAGCAACAGTTGCAATGCACACCACTAAATCACGCTTGCCACACCTTATCGTGATGCATATACCTCTGAACTGCCATCAGCCTTGTTGATCCCATCATGCTGCGTGTATCAGGTCGTTCTGGTAACGTGAAATTGTATTGCAGCAATGCTCCCAACAGTTCAGAGACTGAAATAATTTGTCTAGGTGTCTGTCTAGGCAGACTTCATTTGCTTTTCCCACCCACGTGTTGGCAGCCACGTTTAGGTGGTTGTTGTTCCATATGTGTACTGGAGGGTCATTACTCAGGGAAAAAAGCAGCCAGAACGTAAGGCTAACCACTCGACTCCATATAATACCTTGCATAATAATGAACTGAACTCCTCTATCGTCTTCACTGAGTGATTCATAAGCACGGGAACAATTTTACTTTTTATTATAATTTTACTGCTATTTTGGTCAGAATATCTGAAGTGTAGAGGAAACTTAGGAGATGAGGCTGATCTTTAGAAAAAATGTCACGGAAATGCGGTGTGAAGGTTCGGACTGTATGCATCGGCCTCAGGATCCAATCCAGCCCTCATCTTGGAAACATGGCAATGATCGTTTGAGTATCACAAAAGGCAGTGAAATTTTGCGTAGCTTCTCAAGAATGGCTTCCTTGTTGTCATTATTATTATTATGCTGTAGGACGTACAGACCCTGAAGAGGAACTAAAAGTTCAGATTTCAAGGGAAGCAAGTGTTACGGATATTGATTCCTAAGAACATTTTTACAGGGAGAAAAATTAACTTCACTTAACTTGTAGTGTGTTAATTTTTCATTTTTATTCAGCTATTTTTTCCACACTCACGTGACATTAAAAAAAACCAGTAGGCATGGCCAAAGATTGCGTTTCCAAGAATTATGGGTGTGTTATCTAAAACTGCACTGCTTATCAACAGACTGCACCAGGTACCGTCCTCATTTGGAAGTTGGTGACGATTGTAAGCCACGTACCTCCGGTATATGTACGTCAATGAAACACATTGAACGAAGAATAATACAGTTCTGGCGTTGCAGAATCTGTGGTGTGTCATGAGATGCGTGGACAGATAACTCTTTCTCACATCCGTTGCTGTCTGATTGTGTATTCATCTTCGCCACATGTAAACTTCGTTTAAATGATATATTGGATATTTTTTTACATATGTTATTTTATTTGGTTATGAGACCGCAACGCCAACAAGTGGCCGACGCAGAAAGCGAAATATGTTCGATCCGGCGACGCGAGCTGACGTCACTCTGAGATCTGTCTACGGTACGTTTCACCGTGAACGTCGCAGTGCTATCAAAATTCAAACTAAGTGTGTAGAATACCAGCACAATCCGTGCTGTGATGGATTGGAAATACTACAGATTGAAACGGTAAGGTTTGATCTATTCACATTTATTTCTCTTTGAGTGACAGTTTCTAATATACCGTTATTAAGTAAATATCTTCTGAGATCACAGTATGTTGGTGGCAGTGAACATTTACAGTGCATGCTCGGAATATTCTTGTTCAGCCTTGTTGTTAATGTGCAGAAAAAGACGGAAGAAAGGTGCGTCGGTTAACTGTGTTTAGTAGGAGTCATGTTTTCCCTTTCAGTTTATCGTCGTCGAAAACGCACGCGTGCTCTGTTCTCTGCTCGTAACTTGTGCCATTACCTACGTGTCACAGTACTACTGTAGGTGCATTTGATATCTCTAACATTTTTTAATTTTTGTCGTACACATATGCTGTGATGCGATATGTTGTTATCGTAGTGGTCATAAATAATGAATGGTCAGAATCATCGCGTTACATAGTGATAACAGTGATGTGTAATAGTGTAATGTACTTGTAGGTACTAAGTAAATGAGAAAATTCATTACCGCCTAATCATAAGGACCCTGATCTGAACACGCAGGCATCTGGTGATTTGTACAAGAATAAATAAAGACAGTTTAGAATTTAAGGTTCTCTCAGCTGTGGTTATGAAGCGTTTTATCTTCTGGGATATTATGTATGTATGTGTAAGGGGTGAGCCATAAAATCCGGCCCTCGTACTGCGACCTTCGATGATCTGTTTCTGGGATATAACACCGTGTAGTCCGTCTAAAGTAAACAGACGTTTCGGAGGAACATGTCCCCTCCATCGTAAGAGTCAAAGAATAAGACAAGCAAGAAACCATCATTAAGCGTGTAGCAAACAGGAGTATTAAAATAAACAGAGATAATAAGAGCCATAAACGGAATTGGGAAATTCTGATAAAGCTGGCCACTAGACGATAATGAGTTTATGTATACAGTGGCTGTTTTAAACGTGTCATAAGTAAATAAAATCGGGCAATACTGCTCTTATTCGACTCCTGTTTGCTCCCGCTTCATGCTCCTTTCTTGTTTGTCTTATTCTTCTACCCTGAAGATGGAGGCTACATATTCCTCTGAAATATCGAATGACTTTCAACGGAATACATGGCGTTATGTCCCCAGAATGTCAGTGTTACTATCTATAAACACAGCATGTTGTAATACATCTGAGGGACATGTGAATGTTCACAATGCCCAGCTGTTACACACGAGATAAAATTTATTGCTGCGTACACATTAACTTTCATTTCTAGTTGAGAGGGACCATACAGTTTAGGCAGAAACTACATCGCTGTGCTTAATAAGACGCCAGCTGTTACTAATGTAATTGCTGTAAAGTAACTTCCTTATCCTGTAACGGACCAAGCGCCAAACTTAAAATATCGAGTGTGATAATGTGCTGTTGCACAACTCAGGGGGTGGAGTCCAATTGGGTCCAGTCGGCACGGCGGCCACTGATTTGCCTATTGTAGCCTGCCCCGGGTGATCATGATGATGGAGAATTTGGTGGAATGAAGATTGGCAGGGGAAACCTAAGTACTCGGAGAAAACCCGCCCCAGCGCCACTTTGTCCACCACAAATCCAACTTCACCAGACCCGGGATCGAACCCGGACCGCCGCGGTGAGAAGCCAGCGACTAACAGCTTGAGCTGTGGCGCGGCCTTTGGTGATAAATAACTATAGAGCATTGATGGAAATCGTAATTAGCAAGCGTAGGCTGAAGAAACTCGTAGAAAATTCTGCTGCAGTAGCACTTCATCCATTACAAATTTCACAGCATTCAGCAGGAATTGAACTCTAACTCCACTCTCAGAAGCCAGCCGTAATTATCTTGAGCTATGTAATTGATAGAAATCTTAATGTCGAGTAAACTGATAACGAGTATTTGCTACAACTGAGAGGAACAGCAGTGTTTGGAGCAGCGATCTTGTTTTGTGACTCAAAGGAACGATGTAGGGATGTGCTAAATTAAATGTTATTGTAGGACACAATAATTCACGATTATAAGTGCAGCTTTATTTGTTAGATACGACATGTGTTTATTTATTGCTTAGACACATATGAGTGCAAGGAAGTGGGTAGTTCCTTGTCTTATTTGCATTCGATAAGTTTTCGGTTTGAACCTTGCAAAGTCGACCGATTATCCTGTGTTTCTTCTTTCTTTATTTTGTTTTCTGTTTTCCTCGATCTTCTCTCCCCAATGTCGAGACAGAAGTCGCTTACAAATAAGCTAAGGCATTTCCTCTTCAGTCTGTTATTTATCACTCTCGTTCTGACATTTCCTTTGACACTAAATGACCTTTTACACCTCTTAGAGAGTTGTTAGATAACACGAAAGAATGCCAAATAAATTAAGGTAGCATATTATAGTTGAATATTTCATTATGTTTTGCTGTAGATAAGTGAATACTACTTTGTTCTTGTTACGTGCTGTCTCCTGTTGCCTGTATTTCACTCTTCGTGCTGATAAAAGATGCTTTAGTGCTACTATTGACAGGAATCGTGATTTTGAGCATCTTGTACTCTGGAGGATACATAATGATCTACTCATACACGAGAGAACCTATCTTTAGGCGTCCTATTCTTAAATGAAATTACCCTCAGATATATACAGTGGTTTCTTGCACAAATAGGTACACCGTGACCTTTTGTACTATGACATCGTAGGCAACCTTGCAAGTTACCCTTTTCGGTTCTCTCGTGTTTCGGGTTCCCATTGGTCATCTCTGTACATAACCTACATACATCCCAGATTGGTTCCCTTCTGTGATATAGAGAACGTAACTTCCTCCTATCTTCATTCCACCAATTGCTCCACAATCACCCTCACCTATCATCTGGGGCTGGTACAATAGGCCAGAAATGGCCGCAGTACAAGGGACTTAGTCCCACCCCACTAGCAATAAAAAAACTTCCTCCTAACTTCGGTATCCACCTACGAATCTGCACTACAAACATTACAATAATAATTTTCAGCACTGCGACAAACCAAATCTCGTTAGGAACGCTTTTCTCTTTATATATATATGGGAGAAATATCTTCTTAGTAGATTGAAGTAAATATAATCTATAGCAGGTCATTGGGATTTTTTTTTTTTTTTTTGGACTTCATCGTCCTGTAAGTGTAGTCATATCCCACCCCTCACCTGAGGACAGAAACAGACCCACTTCCTAAAACGCTTTGTTCCTTTGTGTTCGTTAGAATACCGGACGGAGGACATAATCTAAAAACCCATCAATGACAAGTATTATACATCATCTTCAGAGCCCTTTAGAATCTACTTATGGCAAAGCCCGTTTACATAAACATTTGCCTTCTGTATTTCCTGTTCTCAGTGGTGTGAAACAACGGGATCCTTCATCGTCTCTTGAAAATCATGAGGGGCTGGAACTGAATGGGTCAAATCGGCTCATTTACGCTCACTTCTTCTTCTTTCTTTCCTTGGCACTACAGCGCCAGTGGGCCTAGGCCTTCCTCCATGAACTCCGTTCACTTCGGTTTTTCTAGATCTTACACATTTGGTAAGACTCCTTGGGCAGGTGATCAGCTCGTCGCAAGGCCTCTACCTGTACACAAACACAGAAAAACGCACACACACAAACTAAACATCCATGCCCTGAGCGGGATTCGAACCCACGATCCCGGTTTCCAAGCGAGCGAAGACAGAACATGCCTTAGACCGCTCGGCTAACGTGACCGGCCATTTACGCTCATTATATGAATTTATTGCAGGGAAACATAAGTATAGAAATTGTATTTGGCGTTAATAAGGAATGTAATGTATAAATATAAGCAAGGGAAACTGAAAAGCCTGTAAGGGATATTTGCATATCTCGTCACAGAAATCCGGAGCAACATTGTGATACAAAGATATATAATGAATATAAGTTATCATGTTCCCACAGCAGTGATTATTTAGAACTCTCTCCTTGGAACAAACTCTCTTTAGAGAAACAAAGTCGTTCACCTGGTCAANCCCCCCCCCCATTATGAAACCGTAAGGTTCATCGTCATGTTCACAAGCTTGCATCACCGGATCCTATCCCGTAACAGATGACTTCAGTCTACACCCTCAAATCGTGTTTAAGATCCATCTTAATCGTATCTCTCATTTAGATCTTACAACTAAAATTTTGTATTCATTTCCGATCTATTGTGAAGAAGATACTAAACATTTAATTCCCATAAAAGGCTCGACATTTCTTGATTAGCTGAGCAGCTGTTAGCTTCTCAAGAGGGAGCGTGCTCTATGAAGTTAGTTGGGTATGAATTTCTATTTTCTTCTATACATGCTGCATGCTTTACCCATCTGATCCTTCTCGATTTTATCACCACAGTAACAACCGGTGAAGAAACCAGATTATGAAGCTCCCCGGTGTCAAGTTCTCTGCACCCTCCTGCTGCTTCCCCTCTCTTCGGTCTGTATGCTCTCGTAGACAATCTGTATGCCTTTTCTCCACGTACGAAATGTTTTAAGTGGTGGAAAATATTTTAATCTGAGATTTTATAAGTATCGATGATTTTAGCAAGTAGCGAGAGCATTAATATATTTGCCATGCGGTTGTGAGTAACTGCCGAAACCACGAAACTTTTCCGTCGAGTGTTTATCGCCATTACCGGCATAGGATATCCGCAATGCGAGCTTCTATTGTTCCTTGTGACGCGGGACAAGCGGAAACATCTGTTTTTTTTAAACAAGGTCAGTTGGTGTATTAATTTTTTATATAAACTGTTGATCTGTCGTAATAGGTCCGTATTCACTGGTGTAGTCAGAAAATATTTTGTCAAAAACATTGGTCAGAAACGTTTCAAATGTTCGATTATTGATTAATATAAGGGCGCTATTTAAATATATAGGTTAGGGTCAATATAGTGTCGAATGCAACAGTTATTTATGGATGAATCGGACATGATGTGGAAAAGAAGGATTGCTGGTTTATTTTAAGTTTCCAGCCCAGCATACTACCATATTTTCTGAGAAGTAGTGGGTCTGGAACGGGGCCAACTCAGCCTCGTGAGGATAATTGAGG